TTGAACAGACCAAACCTAAAATAATTGAAATAGCTGAGAAATAACACCACATTAAATTAAAGTTTCCCTGACGAAAACGTTTCAACTGAAAGTGCATAAATTCATGATCTTACCTAAGACTGACCTCGAGTAAAAAGACTCCTCACAGACCTTATGGTTGTAACTTTTTCAGAAACGATACAGCCCTATGCGAAATTCGCTGCTTTTAAACACATCTGAATGTCCTGGAAACAATTCTGGCTTCTCTGTTATTGGTCAGAAAATATTTCCTTTCCGCGTTGTTGTGCAATGGGACGTACCAGGCATATAATGCTTTGGGCAGTAGTTCCCCTTTGTGCATTGTCCGTGAGCGACGAGCCGTTGAGGTGTAGCGACTGAGGTGTTGACAGTGAATTAAGGTGTCGCCGTTTTCAGATAAATTGTGGTGAGCAAGATAGAATCGTTTTCAGTGGCTAGTTAGTTGCTACTTTGTGATACGGGGGGTGGGGGGGGGGAGGGGGGGGTCGAACGAACCGCATTTTTTTGACCGGAAAAGGTCCACTCTGGGTAAAATTTGGTCTAGGTACACGAAGGTTTTACATGGTATAAGTCTATTTTGTCGGAAAAAATATCCCCCCCTTCGAAATTGCTGTTTACGGGCCTAGATTCGTTACCGCAAGATGATATCATTTCAGAGAATTTCGATGATAGAGATTGTCTGATCGCACCGTGTAAACTTTGAATGGTATAATGGTGTAATGTTTGCTACATCCATGTCGACTGTCTTATCTTTCCAGATGTGAAGATATTATATGAAAGTGTGGTGCAGATTAAAATTAAAATTATGAGACAACATCAATGAGTCATTTATGCGCTTGTTATGAAACTAATTGCTACAAAAATAATTCACGTGGGGCGTTTAAATTTTTGCTCAGCGTATATAATTATCTTATTATTTCCATTTTATTTTCATAAACGGGAATGCACCGAGGTAGACCCTATAAAAAAGATGACAAAAAAAGGAAAATGTAAATAAGTACCGGTGCTGCAAGCTCACCCTCCTGGTACGTGTACAATTGAATGTGCAAATGTGGTATTTTGCTGTTTTTTAATGGTATTCGAATGTGTTATTATAAATTTGCATATCAAAAATGTCATTTTATGTGGTTTTGAGATTTATTAGTTGACAACCAAGCGAGTATTTATTACAATTAACTGTTGTCAGAAAAAGGTGTCAAACCGCACACTCCCATAGTAGTCTCGGTGACTTCGACCAGGGGCGGATTTAGGCCGTCTTCTGGGTCTTCCGGAAAACGATCAGGTTTTCAAGTTTACATTGATGGGTATCTAATTTTTTTCTGTCGGAAGTCGGTCAAAAATGGAGGATGGATCAATAAAGATAATTTGGAAGCCTGTCAGAAAATATCTCTGGATCTGCCCCTGTCGACTACCTCCAAGGGACAGAATTCTACCAACTGCGTGGTTTGTGGCCAATCTAAATAACAGCTAGGCCTATGGTTGTGTTTTCAACAGGGAAGTAAGGATCATATAAATCATTTGATCTGCTGAAGGCTGCATCGTTTGTGCATTTTTTAAAGGCATTGCCCGTGTACGAATTGTAGGTATTAGGAAGAGCAATGTCAGGCAGGGAACTCTTCCCTTCGCTCATAACCAATAAAATGCAACACGTTTCTGAAATATAGTGAAATCAACAGAAGATTAAAGAGATGTAACGCATGCACAGGCTTTTTCTGTCCTGAGTCTTGGATGATTTCTTGATATCTTAATTTTTCACACATCTATTTATTTTTTGAAAATATTTTTATCTGTTTATTATTTTTTCATTTATTTATTATTTTCATGAAATTTAGCTTTTAGGGAAATGTACAATGGAGGCTGGAGAAGTCTGACCAAGACAGAATGAATTGATTTAAATTAAAAAGAAAATTCATTACGTAGTTTATAGACACTGTAACTATTTGTTATGCTATAAATTTTCAACAATCTATGATTTATGACTAGCACGTCAGTTATATTGGATTTATCATTGTATAGCATCTCTGCCTCTTATTTGTTTATTGCAATTTCACCTATAAGGAAGTAGATGTAGATATTTCATTTACACAATGCCGAGTTCCTATGACCAAATACCGCCCATTACGATGCGTATCCGACATATATATAGATTATAATGGTTTTCCTGACACCTGCTGTCCTCGATTAGGACACGGGAGGTCATTTCACTCGCCTGGCCGCTTCTTCGCGCATATGGGATGCCCGGATAGAGAAAAAACATTTCCGTTTTTTTACGTTCCGTATTGTTATTGTTGTGGACGTTCAGTTACAAAAAAGGGTAAATAATTATTTGCAGCATAATGCAAGGATGGATTTGACTTGGAATTTTCGAATCTTTATATTTTTATCTTTATTTCATGTTTATCTGCAGAAAGGTTGCGCTTAAAAACCATTGCAGCATAATGCAAAGAGATATACCTAGAAAATGTCAAATCTTTAAAATTTTATCTCTCTTTCATGCTTATCCACAAAAATATGCAGCTCAAAAACCATTGTCTTTCATCTTTTTAAGTGATTTTAAGTGAAAGTTTATTTTAATTTTATAAGTATATTGCTCAAACCCTTCAGGATGCCACGAAAAAAATTATTCCATCATTATATCAGAAGCCCCCAAAAAGTGCATGCCTTGCTGTTCAAGCTTAACTATTTTGAATGCACCAAAACGTTAACTTCGCATCATCACAGCTTCTGATCTAACCGTTCAAGAAAAAAACTGACCTGAGTGAAGGAGGAAATAGATGAACAAGAAGATTTGAATTACGTAACACGAGGTGGCAAGGACCGAACATCGTATGCGCGCCCGCGAGTTAGATGTCCCTGTAAATTGTCATATTATCACCATCCTTCCGCTGATAATTGGGGGTTTCTCCATAAATTGGCCACGTCCTTCCTTAAACTGGACGCTTGGACAACGAAGGACGAGGGAATAAAACGCAGTAAACTTAAGTGGCGTTAACAGTGCGGACAGTGCCAATTTGTTAAGGTCTGCTTTTAATGGGGTTTAGTTCTTCCATTTTTCTTTTTTTTTTAACTCTGATTTAATTCCAGTTTCACTGCATACGCCAGCTGTACCCCTCTCTCTGGTATACAGTGCACTGGTTATCCATGTTGGTTAGATAGACTTCGATTTCTATAGTTTGTGAAAGTCGTCTACAAAAACAGTCGAACATTTTAAAAATCGTTAACCTTTAACCCCACATGACAAAGCAATGAGATTAGCAGTTGACAGTTGGATTTTGGCTCCATTAGGAAGATTGCAAGGGGCATATTATTTTCTTAATTCGGAAATTTGGCAGCCAATTTGATAAAAAAATGTTATCTTATAAAATCCCATTGAATACTTTCTTTTTTGCATTGCTAATGCTGAATGTTGTTAAGCTTTGTTGTTAAGCTTTAAAATGTGTTTCTATCGTATATTTCTTACATTTAGATGAAGCAAACACTTTCTAACGGAATATGTTATCATTTGCCGTCTTTTTGTCTCACGTTTTCCTATCAGTATGCATGTCGATGTGAAAAGTTGCCAGAATTATTTTACCTTTATGCATACCTTTGTTTGGAGATAAGACACTACAAGATGAAGGTGTTTTTAAACAGATGGCAAATTGAAGTAGAATCCACTATATTTAAGGTATGCATTACTCATGTATACCGTATTTTCTATTCGACGTATAATTGTTTCAATGTTTTCAAATTTCTAGTTGAGCTACGATTGTTACATGTTTATAATGCTATAATGCCAGAACCAAACGAAATGACTTAAAAAGTCATTGTAAATGTATTGCAAATTGGGAAGATTGGTGTTAATTTACCGTATAGATCTTAAAGGAAAAAATAAGTATTATTACTGATGCATCTGTGAAGATCTACTTTACAGATGTCATATATAATCCAAGCTTTCGGCCCCTAGGCCTTCTTCGGGGATTATTGTTGTAGATTGTGTAAACAAAGCCCATTTAATACTGTACATGTATAATATACATATGTAAGTATCTTGTCCTATCACCAACTTGCACTATGGGCTTATGTGGTCTGCAACGGCGGTTTAGTCAATAAATAACGTTGATTTTCTCTGCTCTGAAGAACTTTTATTACGCTCATACGGATTACATGGGATTAAAGAAGTGGGCGCAGCGTCTCTTTGATTTAAGATGTAGGTACCAAGGTGCCGGGCTGCGATCTCTCTACCGTCACCCCTACGTCTTTCCCGTGGGTTGCACCTGTGAGTTTCAGCGTCCTTTGAGGTCCACTAATTCTTAAAACTCTTTTTGTCAGTTTTATAATAATTATTAGGGCGTCAGGTGGATCACATCTCACGTCAAATGTGGTCCGGATCACCATCTGAATCCAAGAATTTAAAAAAGATTCTTCGGCATTGCAAGATGGGGTCACTGACCTTGACCCGCTGTGCAGTGAAGGTGCTCTCAACTACCACAATTAATCAGCACAAAGACCTTGGCGGAGGTCTACGCTCTCTGAATGCTCTTCTGGTATTGAGTTAACGATCATACAACTGTATTCTGGCTGCCCTATGGCCTAAACTTCATATATAGTCTTATAAGGCCTAAACTATAGACGAATAAAACGGCTGGTCATTGTCTTTATCGCTTAGATAAGCGCTCGCGTGATTTTACAAAATGCGTATAAAATGTGGTGGGCTTCTTTATGTAGAAGAGTATGCCCTCTCAGACACCGTTACCCTTTTTTAATATGCGCGTGAGTAGGCTACATCACTTAGACCAAAAATGTAATAAATATATAAGCCGGCTATACTTAATGTGAACTATACTTGTTTACTAAGCTGTTTAGTTCATCAGTCGCTCTATACCCCCCCCCCCCCCCACCATAACTGGCAGCACACGCACACACACGCAAAAGGTCACCCTGAGACTCGTCTGCGAAAGTTCCTCAATGTGTTTAACAAGCAATGCAAGCTGATGATTTGAGAAACTTAAAAAACACCAATGCATTCTAAAAGTCTACTGCACGTCAGGCCACAGGGTTTGTTTATTAATGTGTTGGCATTTATCTGCATGCAGCACGTGGTCTTAGTCAGCCGTCGTCAATCTTCGGAACGATCCCATAATACCCCATTCGCCATCGTTAGCTGTTTCTGTCGGTTTGGGTCGTTTTTCCTCATCAATGCCGTATTCAGCGTCTTTCAATATCTCGTCCCGGTATGAGAGCATTTCTTCCTTCCAGTTTTCTGGGGAATGAAGTTTTGATATGGACATTAAGTCATCCGTTTCTTTCGTTTAAGTAACAGTATACGTGTTGCATAATTGAAAGGATTATTTTGGGCCATAAAGTTAGATGGCCCTCGTTAAGAACCAAATTGGTGGATTCTCATTTGCAACGTCACAGTTTTAATGTAAAATAAATGTAAACTTAATGTAACACTGACCAAATGAAACATACTCACGTATTATGTCTTCCATTGGCCCCGCCTCGCCACCGTATTCCTCGGGTAGCATTCGCTTTGGGATCTCCTTATAAACAGAGTCAAGACTACCCCAGTGAAAGTGAGTCTTTGAAAAGAAAGAATAAGCGCAATTATTTCCTCATGCTTTAATCGGGTTTCTGTGTGTTACAAAATATGATGAATCGGTGAAATAAAATTAAAATAGATTGAAAGCTTTTAACCCAGTTAATCTTAATTTTCGTGTCTGTATGCTTTGATATAACGTGTCACATTATTTTGATAACATTCTCCAGTTTCGATCATGATAACATTCTCCAGGTTTTAACAGACACCAGTTTGATATCATCGCAAATTTTATTATGATCTATACTATGCATCATTTCTTTCAAACAATAAATCTTACTTGTGTGCTTTGTCTTTGGCCATTATATAGTTATACAGTGATGAGCCAGAGAGACATAATGCTTTAAATATCGCTTCAATTTGATAAGAAAATATCTTGCATTTTTAAAGGATCCGTCATATATCTCACCCGATTTACAAACTTTTCCTTCATGAAGAGTTTGCAGATCTCCCATGTAGCATTGAAGATAACAGGTGTGTTGTAGTAGTTGGAACTTTTCCATCGTATTGGATAGGCGTCCTGAAGTTATAGAAATGAAAACTGTAAAAAATCAATTCCAAATCTAGGCCATATTGCCCACATATCAGCCAAGAGGCCTGCACTTTATCCTTTTAAAATAAAATAAGTTATCAATGCGTTCTTCATTTTAATGTTAAAACATTAACAAAAATAAAACAAATGTGACTTGGGGTGTTTTGCTTATATTTGTGGTATTTTTCATCCTTCAAAACATATAGACAATTCCATCTCTCTCACACACACACACGCACGCGCGCGCGCGCGCGCGCGTTTTTATAATAATCAAAAAATCATAATCCAGGACCCACTGCAACTTTTACCTGAAACACTTTCACCGATTTCGCTATAAGATCTCTGGTCCACTGGGTCAGGTGGCCGACAGACAGGTCAGTACAGTCCGTGAAGTCCACTAGGCCGTAAACCTGGGTTTTTTCGTCCTTCAGTAATATATCCAGGGTGAGTATGATCAGCCTACACATATCCACGATGACGTTAGGTCTGGCCGGGTCGTAGGCTAGGAAAAGTGGACTCAAGATTAACTGCACTGTGCCTTGGCTGGGCGTAAGGAGTAAAAGACTTTAAAGCGGTTTTATCCCGTTCCCGGTTTAAAGTTTTCCTCCAAACTCAAAAAATTTGTGTTTATCGAATGTGTTTATATCTAAAACTTGCTCTTAACTAACACATTTATTTCATATTTGCTCGTGGCCGAAATCGATTATTTTTAATTAAAATGTATATTTTTATATGTTTTTAGCTGAATAATCCATCATCATCATTATCATAATCATCATCATCATTATTATTAATGTTGTCTTGTCCAGAAAGTTTCTGTGCAGACAGATCATATATCTATTTGATATCCTCTGAGAAAAAAGGCGATATCAGTAAAAAATTAAGAAATCATTTAATGTTTCATTTATGTTTTTCTCAGTCTTTCAAAGAGACTTTTATATTAGCCTATTCATATACAGTTAAGCTAGGTCTTATAGTTAAGTGAAGTCATTCTCGAGCCAAGTTCATTCTAGTCAAGTTCATTCTACATAGCTTCGTACGCCCCATAGCAGTAGGCCGCATAAAATGTTTTAAATTTTGATATTCAGAAGAATACTAGAGTCCACAGACTAAGAGAAAGTTATTTCTATAATGGAAACCTTCAACACCTACACATCGTAGTGATCACCACCTTTCGCCCTTTGTCGTCACGCCCAGGTAATGGAAAGAGAACTCTGAAACAAAGAGTTCATAGGGTAAACAATAGGGACCACATGTCACTGTATTAAATGAATAAAAGATTAATTTGAAGAACATGTTAATAAATAAAATATATAAATAAATAATACAACACAAGATAATCATCTAACAAATAATTGAGTGAAATGACGATTGCTGTTTACGATTCTACAACTGCAACTTGCATTTAAATATGATTTCAATAAGAAATATGGAATGCGCGACCAAAGTCCGTTTTTACTGAGAGGTTCACCCTGATAATTCGCCTGTATGTTTTATATATGGGAGATATTATCCTAAATTTATTCTTGTAGAGGTTACATTCTTAAAATTATCTGTAAAAATCAGCAAATATGTTGGAATGATATGATTTTTTTCGTTAGTCATAGAAGTTTTCAGTTTAAGTGAATCAAAGTTGTATTTCTACAATTTCTACTTTTAGTGTGTAGTGCGACCGCTAAATGGCAGCACTATCGCCATTGGAACCGTTACGTAACGTATTTGGTTTTTACTTACTTCATCTCTAACAGTTCTATGAGCTTGGGATCGGCTGGGTCAAGGTTTTCAAACCATTCAGGCACACCTTTATCTGGTACGGACCGCATGGTGTAGTAATTGTCAAGTTTCTCCTGCGCCCGAAGTTGGCTGAATTTACTAGGGCGCAAGAAGCTGAGCAAGAAGTTGTCATCTACGTTAAAAGAAAATTATTTTCAACACATTTAACCCTAAACTGAAAAATAAATGGAACCAATATGAACAGATCAGACGGCAAATAGAGAGCAACTAAAAAAAAA